CAAAAATGTAGTGCAGGTAGAGAGGAAAGTATCTGTTGGAAAAATTATTTAGTAAAAAGTAGCCCTTTTTAAAAGTACTCAAGAGGAGTGAGTATTATACTGTGAAAGGCTGATGCGTTTACATGCAATTTGTGCAGGGATGTGTAAACGAAACATTCTGTATGGCCATTAAGAGATTTCTGTCATCATACAGTAAACATCCTTCATCTTCTCATCAGCGACATGCAGCCTATCAATGATAATGTTTAAAGATTTTGGACATGTTCTTGAAAACCTTTAATGATACAGAACAGTTTGCTGCATTTATAAATCGCCCATGTCTTGAGCTTGTTCAGTATGTTGGGAATTACTGATTTTTCTACTCAACCATAGACAAGAAATATTAAAGTAGTGACTGCACGTAAAAATTAATTATTTTTTGACAGCAATTTAGTTTAATTTTTGTAGTTTAGTTTTTTCAGACTTTTTTTGTAGTCTGAGAGATGTTAAAATGGGCAAAAGATCAAACTGCTAATGCAAATATTACAGGCAAATTTGTTTCATTTTGAGCTATTTGGATTTTCATTACATGTCGATTCTTGTTAGTGAATAGAAAACTCTCAAAATGCATTTGAAGTTTATTTTGTTTTACTTTATGCATCTCTGTTGATATAAATATATTTAAAAGTTTTTTTTTTCCTCAAACTGGTTTTTGTCTATGCAGTTTCACCTCATTAGCACTTACCAGGATGTACGTTTTTATTCCTGTTGATTTTCTGAGGGGTTTACGAAGAGGTTTTAACCAGTAATATTTTTTTTGTTTCTAAAATGTTTTTTTTTTCTGGATGTTGAAAATTTATACTTTTTGGAAGCTTGTGTTTGTAACAGAAATAAAACAAATAATAGTTTTAAAATAGTTTTTCTCCTTTAAACAGTAAGAAATCAGAACTGTGAAATTAAAATTAAAAACTCTAAGAAACACAGACAGAATTGTCAGAAAAAGCCAATAAAATGTAAAAAAATACGTTTGAAGTCTGAGAAATAAAAAGTCAGATATAAACTCAGAATTTTAACTTTTTTAACAAGTTTGATTGCAGTATATTACAATTCTGACTTTTTTCCATCAAATTGTGTGACTAAATTAGAATTACGAAAAAGACTACAGTTTATATAAAGTTGAATACTCTCAAAGTTATGAGGTTAAAATCTGAAATCAAGAATAGAAACATATTGTTTGCAATTCTAAGTTTACATTATGTCTAGCAAAACTTGTTTTTTACAATTCTGACTTTTTTCCTCCAAAAACTGAGAGAAATATCAGAATTATGAAAAATAAAAGTCTAACAAAAATTCTAAAAGCAACAATAATATAATTTACTATAGCCTATAAACTATAAATATAAGATTTCTTCCCATTTACTGTATACAAGCTCAAAACTGCAAGAAATAGTTTTAATTTTGTGGTGGAAATGTGTTTTCATAATCTTTTAATTTACAGTTAAAAAAACCATCAATCAATTCTTGAGATTTGTTTTGGGACAACCTAACTGTTTCTTGTTCAATCCACTTAAAGTTGTTAACCAAATCGGAAAACATTGAATTGTGTGGAAATCTGCCTTTTTTACAGTGTAGATTTGAGCTAGTTAGCCTAAAAACAAACAAGATTTAATTAACACCAATTAGAATAGCAACAAACAGGCATGTAGCCACCAATTTGTATTTGTTCGAAAATGTCCATGTGCTCCTGCAGACAAACTTGATGAATGATATTACTATATATTGGCATCAAGTCATCAGTTTCATTAGTGAAAACAATTAGTGCGCTATTGAATATAGTTAGTGTTCCCACAGAGCATTTTTGTGTTTAACCTTTGTGTGCTGTTGGAGATGTTTTCATCCACTATAGGGTGATTTTGAGTCTTATTTTGGCCACAACTTTCTCTGTTTCAGCAAATGGAATGATTTCTAGTGACAAATCTTATTTTGAACCATATTTTGGAAAAATGCTTAGAAAATTGTAAAATATATATATATTTATATATATATATATATATATATATATATATATATATATATATATATATATATATATATATATATATATATATATATATATATATATATATATATATATATATATTACACTCTGGGCAAATTGACTACCCTTTCGTTATGTTTGTGGCTGTTTTTGCCCCATTGACTTGCATTATAATGACATTTTTTATTGCAAATCAATGACACCATATAATCAAGCCTTCTTGACTGTTGCTGGTTTTCCCTGTTGGGAAGAGTTAAATTTACATTAAATTTTTACTGTTGATCATCGGCTGCAGTGCAAAAAAAGCTTAGTTTCTGGATGCAAATTTATATGGTTATAAAAAGTGTAGGGTGGGGGACTTATTAGAACTATAAAAGCCAGACACTTTTTTTTGCGCAGGCGCATGTAAAGGGTTAATGCTGCCAACTGATAATCATCAGTAAAAATGAAAAGTCTGCATGATTTAAGAATGCATGATTTTTTTGGTGTCACAGCTTTGCGATCAAATAATGTGGTTATAATGGAAGTCAATGGGGCAAAAACTGCCACAAACATAACAAAAGGGTAGTCCATTTGAACAGACCACAAGGGTTTAAAGGCGTCTAATAGATGCCCAAGCATGGACATCTTGGCTAAATTTGGGCTGTCAGTAAATCCGGAACTGATGTCGATAAACATAAATGGAGAGATTACACTTCACATGTGTGGTCATTGTTTCCGGTCTATTTGATAATTAGCCTATTAGACTATTGTTAGATATCTGTTAGATTTTCACTCACAGCCCTAATTTAGCCTTGTTTTAGCCAAGATGTCAATGTTTGGATGTCTTTTAGAAGTCTTTTTATCTTATAAAAAGCTTGCTGGTTTAAAACAAGTAGATTTTTTACTAAATAAAGCACACATTCCTTTTATTTGTGAGGTCTAAGTGCCATGTCTACCAAAGTTTAGTACAGTTAGAAATTATGTCACAATGAGGTTTTTCGACAGAGGTCAGAACCGATTTAGTCGCTTAATTCCCACTTGAGCAAGCACATCGATTTTGCAATAAATACATTGTTTCAAGACTGCACGAAATGATCCAGAGTTATTATTTTTTTGCAATCTTTCCTTGTCAGAATGTCTGCACGTCAGCCAGTCCTTGTTTTCTAAGGACAGCAGTAGAGAATAAAACAAATTTGTTTAATTGATATTTAAATTCTAAGTATATTTATAAAATGCATTTGCTAGTATTTTATTGCATTCAGTGCTTTAATTAATTAATTATTTTCTCTGGAAATCATTCGCACATCAATCAGTTGCATTACATTTCATGAGTGATTTACACATTTGTTCTGTCTCAGGAATGAGACACTCTACCACTGATGTAACAGATCATCACAAAAAGGGACCAACAAAGTATCTTTTTCAGACATGTACAGATGTTTGTTGTGTGCATTGTCATTTATTTGTTTGTTCTGTGTTAATAATTCTATTTAACTTGATTCTAGGGGATAATTCACCCAAAAATGGAAATTCTGTCATCATCTGCTCACCATTTACATTCTTTTGTTGAATAGAAATGAAGATATACTGAACAATGTTGTTGAGAGTTTTTTTTTTTACTACTATGAACATCAATGGCTGCTTTTTCGAACATTCTTCAGAAGATCTTGTTTTGTGTTCAACAGACAAAAGAAAATCTATTCAATCCAATTCATGTTTATGTCTTTAGCACTTTAACAATTTAGATTGTGTCAAAGCAGCTTAACATAGAAGTTCTAGTCAATTGAAACTGTGTCAGTCCAGTTTTCAGCGTTTAAGTTTAGTTCAGTCTGGTTTAATTTTCACTGCTGAAAGTTCAAACACTGAAGAGCAAATCCATCGATGCGGAGCTCCAAGAGTCCCAAACCAAGCAGGCCAGTGGTGACAGTGGTGAGGAACAAACTTTACCAATTAACGAAAGTGAAAAAAAAACAACGAGAGAAATCAGGCTCAGTTGAGCACAACCATTTCTCCTCTGGCAAAACTTCCTCTGCAAAGCTGCATTTTAGGTGCCATAGGCTGGTGAACACAATGTCCATCGTGGCGAACTGCAGGTGTGAGTAGGTCACTGGCAGGTGTTCAGGCTGGCCCACGGGATCATGGCGGGGACTCGTCTGTCACTGTGGTTTTTCAGGAAGTCTCATGCTCCTTGCTCGTCCATGATCGCCACAGCGTCAGCTCAGGATATGGCCTGGTCCAGGATTATGGATACCTTGGTATCATTTCCTCACAGGTCTTGGATCGCATCAATGGTGCTGCATAATGTCTAGACACCTCGGGATGTATTCCCAGGTGGAAATAGAAATGCAATAATTAAGTGCTACAAATAAAAATAGTAGTTATATAAACAGACATAGAAACAAACATGTAAAGCATATGAGAGTTTTTTTACAAAATGTCTGGTACATTAAGACAGGAAGAGTGTGTCCTACAGGTGGTTTGTCAAGCCCATTCACCTGCTTGGAGCACACTCATACGTCATATCGTTATGTGATGCTATGTGTGTACGGTGTGGAGAGAGTTTAACTAAGAGTGTAACTGTAATTGAGAGAGTGTGTCTGAGCCTCGGACATGATCAGGAAGGCTTATAGGTTAAGTTTAGGAGCCATAAATAAAAAGGCCTGACCTCCTTTAGTAGACTTTGCTAATCTGGGTACTACCAGAAGCCCTGAGATTTGACATCTTGAATTGTAAAAGTTTTGAAATCATAAAAGTTTCAAAACCACCTCCATGAAAATTTTTGTGTAAACTATCCCTTTAATTACTCACACTCAGACCATTCAACATGAAACCATAGTCTTTAATGATTCATTCAAATGTAAAAATGTCCACTTTTTGTTGATCTATCATATATATTTGCTTCAATTTAAAGCTTTTGATGTAATATTTATTCATATTTGATCTCATTATAACTTTGTTTCGATAAAACAAATCTGGTTAATTTTTGATGTTTCCCCCACAGACGACACTCCCTTGAGAAGTGGTCATGCCGGCTTTTGTGGTGCCGAACGGCTGCAGAATCTTCTCCAAAACCACCAAGAGGTCAGACATGACCTCACTCATTTCCAGTTCAGTTCGTACATTCCCAAAGTGTTCCTTTAAGAGGAACACCAAGCCTTGGAATAAATGACAAATCAGATGTTCAGACCACTGCTCTCTCAGGAATAAAGCTTCAAAAGCTGTCACTGGGGTGGTGACTTTTTAAAACATAAATGTTTGTCATTTTAATTATTAGGTGATGCCATATTAAAATTAGAAGTTAATTTGAAGTCAATTTGAGTCAAGGTAAGAAAGTACATGATTTTAATTTACATAAGTAATAAAAGTAAAAGTACTTCAGTGAGTTGTTTACCGGAGACTCACTCTGAATGAATTATTTGAATCAGTGAGTGGAGACTCACTCTGAGCAGGTCATTTTAATCAGTGTGTAGTTTACAAGAGATTTGCTTTAAATTGATCATTTGAATTGGTGAGTTTAGTGGTTTACTGTAGACTCACTCTGAATGAATCATTTAAATCAGTGACTTGTATTGCTGGAGACACACTCAATGGATCACCTTAATCAGTCACCCTTTAACTGGAGACTTACCCTAAACAGACAATTTGAATCAGTGAATTGTTTACCGGAGATTCCCTTTATATGGATCTTTTGAATCAGTGAGTTGTTGACAGGAGACTTACTCTGAATGAATCACTTGAATTAGTGAGTTGTTTACCGGAGATTCCCTCTAAATGGATCATTTGATTCAGTAAGTTGTTTTACTGGAGACTTACTCTGAATGGACCATTTGAATTAGTGGGTTGTTTGTTTACTGTAGACCAGGGATCACCAAACTTGTTCCTGGAGGACCGGTGTCCTGTAGATTTTAGCTCCAACCCTAATCAAACACACCTGAACAAGCTAATCAAGGTCTTACTAGGTATACTTGAAGCATCTAGGCAGGTGTGTTGAAGCAAGTTGGAGCTAATCCCTGCAGGGACACCGGCCCTCCAGGACCGAGATTGGTGACCCCTGCCGTAGACAGTCTGAATGGATCACTTGAATCAGTAATTTTTTTTTCTTTTTTCATTTCTTTTTTCTTTATTCATTTTTTATTTTACTGGAGACTCACTTTAAATGTATCATTTGAATCAGTGAGGTGAGATTGGTTACCAGAGGCTCACTCTTAATGGTTCATTTAAATCAGTGAGTTTTTTTTTACTAGAGACTCACTCTGAGTAGTTCATTTGAATCAATGTGTAGTTTAGAGATTTGTTTTAAATTGATCATTTGAATCGGTGAGTTGAGTTGTTTACTGTTCACTCACTCTGAACGAATTTTTTAAATCAGTGAGTTGTATTGCCGGAGATACACTTCGAATGGATCACTTGAATCAGTGACCCTTTTACTGGAGACACAATCTGAACAGACTATTTGAATCAGTGAGTTGTTTATCGTAAATTCTTTTGAATGGATGATTTCAATTAGTGGGTTGTTTGCTGGACACTCACTCTGAATGGACCACTTGAATCAAAGAGTTTTTTACCAGAGACTTACTGTAAACACATCACTTGAATCAGTGGTGTAGTATGCCGGTGACTTACTTTGAACCGATTATTTGATGCAGTGAGTTGTTTACTGTAGACTCACTCTGAATGAATCATTTGAACCAGTGAGTTGTTTACTGTAGACTCACGCCGAATGAATCATTTGAACCAGTGAGTTGTTTTGCTGGAGACACACTCTGAGCAGATCATTTGAATCAGTGACTAATTTACTGGAGACTCCCTCTGAATAAATCATTTGAATCAGCAAGTTGTTTACTGTAGACTCACTCTGAATGAATCATTTGAATAAGTGAGTTGAGTTGTTTACTGTAGACTCACTCTGAATAAATCATTTAAATCATTGAGTTGTTTACTGGAGACTCATTCTGAATTGATCACTTGAATCAGTGAGTTGTTCACAGTCTAATTCACAAATTGATTGTTCAGTGCCATTTGTGAGCCAAATTAACAAGTTAACTTATAAAATACAGTCTGTTCATGAATTAAACGCCACTTTCTTGTCACTTTGCTCTATTTACTCCCCTTCAAAAAAACGTTTAAGAAAAGTAAGGGAGTAAAAAGTACAATATTTTATTTTGGAAATAATTTAAAAATTGCTAAAATAAAAATACTCTGATAAAGTTTGACAACTAAAACATGTTTAAGTACAGTACTGATTAAAAAAACACTTCAATGTGGACTTTTAGGTGCAAATGTGTACCTTCTGAAATCACAGCACCCCATTGATAACTGTTTTTTTTGAGAGTGTAGTGGAAGTGATGTACGTTACATCAACACTTCGTAATGTCACTCAGTGATTGTTTTGCTCATCTACTTTGTCCTGTTTTTAAGAGGTGACCCAAGCTATTACATGGAAAGAGCACTATCTATTGTTGTTGAAGCACCTGGTAGGGGTAAAGCCATTAAATTGGTGCAAGGACAACCTGTCGTGTTTTAGAATCAGATAACATGTAACCATTTTTATTTTAAGCGCACAATTTCCACTTGTTCGGTGGCAGGATTGAAAAAGCAGATGTGAACCATCTCCTCATTTTCTCCCTTGACGCTTTCTTTGACCTACAGCAGATACCAGTGTCCAGGTCAAAGAGGAAGGTCGACCAGTCCAAAACCAGCTGTCTTTTGCATCTCCATACTGATCACCGATATTACAAACGCTTTGGAAGCATTGAAGCTATTGTGGCTCAGGTGGGTTCCCAAGATCTTGCATCAATTCAGTGTTGTTTTTCTCAGTTTTTGCCCCCCTTTGGTTCCCAATCTCCCCGAAGTTGTATTCACAGCATGTTCCTTCCTTTATCCCACTGGGCACTTCTGCGAAATTGTGGGATTGTGTGTCACCGATGGACCAAAGCCAAGTTCCTTACTATGGCTGTGGAAAAACAAAGGTCTCAGCTGCTTTGGTAGAACATGCTAACGTTATGTAATGTTTGTATGCTGAAGATAAAAGACAGGATTTCCACGAGTTAAAGTGTCCGTTTGTTATCTTGTGTCTGACGAGTTTTCCAGATTGGTGTATTCTGGGGGCCGGTTCGCCTGCATTACGTCTGAGCTCACACTGAGCTTTTTCGGGGGGTAGTTCCCATTGTCTTTGTAGGTGACGCAATGTTTTTGTGTCACTCTTCACAGCTGGTGATTTTTATTGTTTTTTCCAAATCTTGAAATGTACAATATTCCTGAAAAGCAGCATCCCTGCCAAAGGAATATCGCAAAACACCCTTTAAATGAAAGTGCCTTTTTTGTTGTTATTGTGTTGGTCTTTTTATTTGGTTGATTTGTTGGATTGTTAGATTGATTTTGGTTTTGTTTCCTTATGTTTGTGCCCAATGAGATCAATCAGCATATTGTTGGTAATAATATATGTACAAATGTTTAGAAGTTTCAGTCAACTGGATTTTTTTTGTGTCATGCATTTTTTTATAGTACATTTTAGTGATGTTGTCATTTTGATGATGAGTTCAAAACTGAAATTTTATGTAATGTAAATTTTATCCATTTAACATTAATGTTATTATAAGCAGTTGAAGTCTGATTTATTAGCCCCCCTGAGTTATTAGCCCCCCTGTTTAATTGTTTCCCCAATTTCTTTTTAGCGGAGAGAAGACTTTTTTAACATATTTCTAAACATAATACCTTTTAATAACTCATTTCTAATAACTGATTTATTTGATCTTTGCTATGATGACAGTAAATAATATTTGACTAGATATTTTTCAAGACACTTCTATACAGCTTAAAAAGACATTTAAAGGCTTAACTGGGTTAATTAGTTTAACTAGGCAGGTTAGGGTGATTAGGCAAGTTATTGTATAACGATGGTTTGTTCTTTAGACTATCGGGAAAAAAAAGCTTTAGCTAAAAATTTTGTCCATAAAAAGGTTTAAAAAAAATTTAAAAACTGCTTTTATTCTAGCCGAAATAAAACAAATAAGGCTTCCCCCAAAAGAAAAAACATTATCAGACATACTGTGAAAATTTCCTTGCTCTGTTAAGCATCTTTTAGGAAATATTTAAAAAAGAAAAAAACAAACAAATGGGGGCTAATAATTCTGACTTCAACTGTATACAGTGCTCAGCATAAAGTACACCCCTTTTGAAAATTATTATTTTTATTCACTTCTCTGTAAATATTAATTCATTCGTTTTCTTTTCGGCTTAGACACGCCAATTTATCCAGCATTTGTTTTACGCAGTGAATGCCCTTTCAGCTGCAACCCATCACTGGGAAACATCCATACACACTTATTCACACACTCATACACTATGAACAATTTAGCCTACCCAATTCACCTATACCACATGTATTTGGACTTTGGGGGAAACCGGAGAACCTGGAGGAAACCCATGCGAACATGGGGAAAACATGCAAACTCCACATAAAAGCGCCAACTGACCCAGACGGGGCTCAAACTAGTAACCCTCTTGCTGTGAGGCGACATCACTGATCACTGCCCTACTGTGTTGCCCACAGAAACAGAAGGCTAATACGTTTAAAATAAAATAACGTGTTGTCCAAAAATAGTAGCTACAAAATTTCAACTAAATGTAATTTTTTATGGTTCTCTTGAATTTTTTTCTTCTTAAAATTTTAGAGAATGTTTTTATTTAATATATTAATTGACTTAATTAACTCACATTTTAGCATCGTGATCTCGTTATTTTGTTCGATATTTCCAGTTTTGAAAATATCAATCATATACGAAACAGTATTTATTAATAGTAAATCTTAGTGTATATATATAGTATATCTTGTAACAATTCTTTTAAAAATATGCTGTTCAGTAAAAAAAAAAAGACTTCTGTGCAGTCTTAAGTCATTGAAAAGCACAAGTTATTTCATCCACTTTCTGTATATTTATTTGTTCTGCCCCAACTTTACATTATGGGAATTCTCCAATCTAACGTAACTTTAATTTAGTGGGTAATTTGTATTAATTTACACAATCTCAGTTGTATATTTTGGTACAATTTGTTCATCCTCAATGAAGGGTAGGGCTAGGGGTGGGGTTTAGAGACAAACCTTCTTTTAAAAATCATACATTATCATTCAATTGAAGTTGATTGACTTTGTATGAATTAGCCACTTTTCTGGCAATGTGTAAAGTAGTTACATTTCCTTATAAGATTGGTCTGGAATTTTCCTATCCACCTCCCTCCCCTACTCCACCTCTCTAAACCTGCTTCAAAGACAATCCCTGCTTTTTCTTACTATACCATGTTTTTCTGTAACAGGTTCACGTTTTGGCAGTAGCCTTCTCTCATCCAGCAGCACTACATGTAGTTTGGACAAAGCGGATATACATTTAAACTAAGATGCTGTTTAAAGGAATTTGTTAGGAATAGAATAATTATGATAGTAAAATACAATGGTCCCTTAGTAATCGCAGGAGTTACGTTCTAAAAATAACCTGCGGTAGGCAAAATCCACAAAGTAGTCCACTTTATTTTTAACAATTATATTAGATGTTTCTCAGACAGGCATTAACATTTTCACACTTTTATCTTTTTTTAAAACACACTCAAAGTTCAAACCTTCATAGAAAAGTAAGTCCAGTATTATAGAATGAAAACAAAATCTTCATTTATTTATTCTGTTATGGCGCCCTACAGCCTTGTAACATCTACCTTCCTTTACCATGTCCAGAAGTCCAACTTTTTGTGCAATGTTTAGGATCTTCCTCTGCTTTCTAGGTGCTACCATAGGTGCCGTTGACGCAGAATGTTTCGTCAACATTGTGGGCAGAAAACTTGCAAACATGCAGTACAGCACTTCAGAGCCACACTGCTAGCGATCGAAGATTTATGTAAAATTGGCAAGCTGAAACATTCTGTACTGTACAGGAGACATGAAGGAGATTGATTGACAATGGTCTACAGCCATTCAGGGCGCAGAACACAATGCACTATAAAAAAAAGCATGTCAAATTACACGAAAACAATCTGCAAAACTGCAAGGGATCATTGTACTCCATTTATAATCATAAATCGTGTGTGTTTATGCACACTAATATCTTCCAACGTTTTATTATTTGACACATTGAGAAGTGTTTGTGTAAATGGGTGTAGGTGCTCAGGCTGCGTGCCATGTCACAGCGTTATTCCCCATTACTATATTCACCCAGTGCTCTGTGCTAACATGTTGGTCTTGGCCTGCGTGGTGTAAGGAACAGAGGCCAGAATTTCACTCCTGTTCCCTACCAGACACTTTACCCAAGAGTGGTTTCATTCCCTCAGAGGCCAAATGTGCCTTTAACTGACAGTGACTGGGGCAAGAGACTCTCCAGAGGATTCACTGTTGCAACTGGAACTCTGAAGAACAGTGTCTCAACTGATCAGATAATTTGATAAGACGCCTGTGGCAAAATTTATCTGTCTAATTGAGATAAGCTTAATGAAATGATGATGTGAAAATGATGTGTTTTGCAGGTTGCCTCCTACATGAAAGCTGTAAATGATGTTTACGATAAAGCCAACTTTGACGGCATCGAGCTGATCAACTTTAAAGTGAAGTTTCTCACTGTAAGGTCCAAGTTTCTATTTTTTAATCTTCCTTTTTTGGAATAGCTCACCCTAAAAGGATGTGTAGTCACCACTTACTCACCTTCAAGTGGTTCCAAGCCTTTATGTGTTTTATTTATCAAGATATTTTGAAGCACGTTGTAGAAACCGGTAGTCATTTACATACATGGTAGGAAAAGTCAATAGCTATGTTTGCTTTCATCTATGATTATGCATATTTTAGATAATCACATAAAAAAATTGCTTAATGGAAGCGTCATGTTTAATCTCACACCTACAAAAGCTATCGGCTGTTCATTGTTGGGTTGGGCGATATGGCAAAAATGCGATCTCGATAATTGTTTTTCATATTGAACGATAGCGATATATATTTTCATATAAGTTGTTAATGCTTTAGATTTAACAGAGTACCCCAACAATGACTGAAGCCACAAACATTTAAGGGTCCATTTAATGACATAAAATTTTTGGCCGATAAATTTTTGATACAAAATTTCGAAAATTCGGTACATCTCTAATGTTAACACACTATTAGATTCCTATTGTTGCACATTTCTGATGTGTGATTGGCTTTTAGATCAATACAGAGTTAAAAAGTCCAGAGCGTATCATTGTTATTGACATAAATTTGTCGCGATTCAGTATAATATCATTTATCGTCCCAGCCCTAATTCATTGCATTTAACCTTCTAAGGCACAACTAGTTTATTAATATTATAAGAAAAAACTACAGCACTACAGCAAATAACAGTTATTTTTTTTATATTTGATGTCAGTTTATCAGAAAACATTGATTTTGTTCTCTTTTGACTCATTAGCTGGAAACAGAGCTTTAATTCGCAAATGTTTTATGCGATATTCGTGTTTTGCGCGTATGATTTGCAACTCTTGATTGAATCATAGCTAATTGCTTCGTCAAAATATCTTGTTTTTTGTTAAACAGAAACTTAAACAGATATGGAAAAAATGGAGGTGAGTAAATAATGACAGAAATTTTTATTAAATATTTTGGGTATATACTTGCTATACAACTATACTTGCTGAAAAGAAAAAGAAACCATCATAGAATTTGTAATGGTTTTAATTGGTATAGTTGAAGATTGTATTGTTTTTATGTAAATATAATGGTTCTTTGGGTCCCCACTGGTAATTTCTTTGCTTTCTATTTGGTGGCATGTTAAAAGCAAACAGTTTTAATTGAAAATGTCCCAAAAAGGTGGTTAGAATTTGATGTTGTGTCATTTGTTATGGTATTTGTAGTGGAAATTATAACTTGTGTGATGGTTTCTATTGATTTTTATCAACACTAATCCCTTTGCAACTTGTATTGTCATTCTTCCATCTGACTTAATTCTTCATCCACGTCGAAGATTTGCAATGGCCCAAACCAATAAGTGAAGTTTCACAAACGAATTTTGAGGGGAGCCCATGATCTGTTTGATGGTGGCTGGTCTCACATCTTTAATTATTAGTAAGCCAATCGGATCATTCTAAACTCAATATAAAGAGTCTGACTAGCATTACTACCTTATCTTCATTTCTGAAGAATACCATCATCCACCCTATCTCTTTTTCCTCCTTTACCAGTGGGGAGCTCTTATGAACTACCTAATAATGACCCCCTTACATGCTGATTGATCAGGCAGGAGCACTGAGCTCAATTATGTCCGAGCTCAGGGTTCTCTCCCGGAACAGCATGCAAAACCTGCTATCATTATCAAGCAGTATCTAAGTGTGAACTCTTAAAACTTTGATTATTACAGGTGATCACAGAGGAAGATCCCAGCAGTCCCATAAGCGTCACTCATGTTGGTCCTGAGAAGCTTTTGAGTCTGTTTTCCGAGACAAACTGGAATGACTTCTGCCTATCTTATCTGTTGACTGACAGAGACTTTAGCGGGGTTCTCGGCCTGGCCTGGGAAGGAAAAGCAGGTAATATTTTACCCCATCCACTCTAGAGAGCATCGCCAACACAAGCTGCCTCATTGACACCCACAACAAATGTCACGTAGAGAAATATTATGATACTCAATGGTGGCCAGCTATTAATGCCTTTGGTATGCGACCTCTATGTCTTTGACGCGACACGACATTGAATGGAAGCTATCTGATAACATCACTCAAGCCCCGGACACCCTATTGAAAAACTGCAGTGCGGGTGGTGGGGGTCTGGGTGTGGAGTGGTGGTCTTTTGGGGAGTGTTTTCTAGGAAAGAATGTGCGCTCGTGTAAAATTCAGAGAAACAACCTTCCTGGAAGTTTTATAGCGATCAATTGTGCTGTTTTTTGAGTTTTATGAGGTACAGATGGATACAAATGTACTAATATGAAACTGCAGCACTTTCTAGGGAATCACTTGTTTACAATAACATTCATGATTGTGTGAATAAATGTAATTGTAGAAATAGATGTACGAAGTAAATACCAGAATACATTCCTCTACATATTTGAAATAAATGCAGTAGTATAAGCTTACATATTTGAATCTATAAAGATTTTATTAAACAAGATTACATACTGTTCTTTAACATGCAGACAAGCATATAGCCGTCAAAATAGTTGAATAATTAGATATAATTTAACAAACAATTGAATGAGTACACAGTCATGTACTTGCATACGTAATTGAATAAATAGATGCAATTAAAAAACTAGATGTATTTAAATTGTTACGTTATTGAATAACTAGACAATGATACAGTCATTTACAAAATTAAATAAACAGATATAATTTAACAATGAAATATAATTGAACTATTCAACATTATTGCACAAGTATATATAGTTGTAATTGTAAAAGTAATTGACCACATAATTGAATAAATAGATATAATTTTACAACTAGATGTAGTTTGAATGGTTTGATGTAACAGAATACCCAGACAAGGACACAGTTATTTACAAAATTGAACAAACATATGATTTAAAGTCAGCGCTAATAGCCTAATGCTTAGTGCGTCGACTTATAGCACCCAGGTGCTCGCGGCGACCCGAGTTCGATTCCCGGCTCGAGGTCCTTTGCCGATCCTACCCCTCTCTCTGCTCCTTATACTTTCTTGTCTGTAAATCTTCACTCTCCTGTTATTGAAAAGGCGAAGAAATAGAAAAAAATTACATAACATATAATTAAACGGTACAACAAGTGAATAAGTAGACATTATTGAATAAGTACAGACAGTTGAAATTGTAAACAGTCATGTAGTTGCATACATACTTGAATAAATAGATGTAATTAAACAACTAGATGTGTGTATATATACATACATATATATATATATATATATATATATATATATATATATATATATATATATATATATATATATATATATATATATATATTAGGGATGTGCGGAGCAGCCGGTATTTGTATTTGTTGAGGGGGGAAAAGTATTTGTATTTGTATTTGTATTTGTATTCGAGTAAAATTCAAAATGCCGCAAAAATATATATTTTTTCTATTACACTTCTAATTTACGTTATAGTGAAAGTATTGTTTAATTATACCCATTATATAAATTATAGATATGCAATATTGGCTGTTGTTTTTGAACATGTGATAAGAAATGTCATTGAAAAGAAAATAACATAGAAGCCATTGTCTCATCCGTGGTTAAACCAACAACTAATAAAATACCATTGTGAATATTATGAACCCCACCACCACCGTTCATGTTGAAGGACACTGAATAGACAGAATAAAAACAAATAATACTTCAAAAAACTGTTCTTCTTCTGAAAGAACTTCTTTCCAATGGAAAGAATTCCAAAAACTAATATTAACTAAATAAATCTAAATAAAACCCTGCCTGGGAGATCTGGCAGAACAAAAGTATTCTATATAATACTAAAAGATACAGCCCTGCTATTGTCATCTGCCTGCCACAAAACAGACACAAAGTTTATTTGTTTGTTTGTTTGTTTGTTTTATGTTTGAAACTGACTTGCTGGGGCAGAATGTGGCTGTGTTGATGGTTTGGTGCTTGTGGAGGATTTAGCAGAACATAGCTGTGCTGATTGAGGGGATTGATGCTTGTGGGGGGTTCACAGACAGCATCAGGAGAGGATGCTTTTAGTGCATGTGATAATACATTACATAGAAGGTTGTGCGGTGGCACAGTGAGTAGCACTGTCGCCTGACAGCAAGAAGGTTGCTGGTTCAAGCCCCGACTGGGTTCTCCCCATGTTGGCGTGGGTTTCCACCACAGTCCAAACACATGCAATACAGGTGAATTGTGTAAGCTAAATTGTCCCTATTATATGTGTGAAAGAGAGTGTATGGATGTTTCCCAGTGCTGGGTAGCAGCTGGAAGACCAGCCACTGCGTAAATCATATGCTGGATAAATTGGTGGTTCATTCCACTGTGGCAACCCCAGATTGATAAAGGGATTTAGCCGAAAAGAAATGAATGAATGATTATGGATAGAAGATGTTGACAGATGTTTAATATCTGCCTCTGCTGATTTCACTTTTGCACACATTATACAGTATCACTTTGTTTTATCTGCAGCAGCACTGACTGTAAAATGCTTCCACACAGAACCTGAAGGTTTTTTTTTCTTTTGACTGGTGGAGGACCAAGAAATGGCTCAGCAGCAGTCTTTTTCACTCTTTTTCTGGGTGCCCAAATGTATTTGAGGAGTTTCAAGTTAATAAAAAGTGAGGGGAAGCTATGCTAAGGTTAACTAGCCTATAGCATATATCTTGCTGTCTGCAAAAGACAGTAATTTAGACGTACCATATAACTCCCATAAGTGGATACTATTCGACACAACTGCAAAAGCATCGTTTTATAAACGAACGTTAACGTTACTCTGTCAACAGTCTATTGTCTAAATTACCGCGCTAACAGAGCTAACGTTGCGTAAACAGATCACCCGGTTGCAGACGTCAATAATGCAGCGTAATAGAATATCCCGATCAAACTCCGCTTCAACTCCGCTACAAGTTTATAAATTGCCTCTGGAACCCAATTAAGGTACAAAAATCTATTTAACAAAAATAGTGATGCAGTGAAGTATTTTTTTCGCTTAGCCGAGCCTTCTGTCTGTTGCTGTGGAGAAGCTTGTGTCAGACACCTTTTATCTCCGCCCTGCCCTCCGACTACTGACTGAGGTCGTACTCACACTAGGTACAGTTGCCTCGAACTGGGCCAAAGCACGCTTGTCCCCCCTCCCGTCTCCCCCGACGGCCCGCGCTCACACCATATCGGGCCTCGGCACGCTTACGTCATCGCTGCTGCTCTGTTCAGTGAGAAGCGCTCTCTATGGCAAGCCTTTTTAGCATTTAAATCTTTGTTCTGACTCCATAAATATATTAGAGATATCTCTAATTATATTTTGACTAGTCATAATTATAATTCCACTACTCAGAATGACAATTAGAGATATCTGCAATTACAATTGTACTAGTACGAAATCAGATGAATTTTGACTAGTAACAATTTTAATTGATATCTCTGAGTTTTTACTAGTCATAATACATTTAGAGATATCTTTAATTCATCATATTTAGAGATATTTACAAATATATTTGAAGATATATCTAATTAATTTACTAAAAGTCTAATTACAGTTCTAGATATCTTGAATTGGATTTTTGACTAGTCAAAATTCATTTGGAGATATCTCTAATTACACTTGTGACTAATCAAAACTTATTTAGAGATATCTACAAATATTTTTCAATGTAAGTCAATGGAGGAATATGACTAGTCAGTCATAATATATTTGCAGATATTTCCAATCTGACTAGTCGAATTATAATTATGACAAGTCAAAATATAATTAGAGATATCTCTAAATAACAAGGTTTAAATGCTAAAACGGCTTGCCATACGCTCTCACCCAGTATTATTAAATATTTCGACAAACAGTCCTTAGGGATGCGGTGACACGCAGTCAGATATTTTACCGGATAGATCCGCCACTTTTGGCGCGCATAAACAATCATAAAGCTCTCGTGCTGCAGGAATGAGGAGGTCTGCTGAAGGCGCGCAGCTGATGTGCAGTGAGGGGTTTGCGTCTTTAATAAACTACGGCAGTTTGCGATCACTGAACAGTAAGAATGATTAATAAATCCATATGAAACAACCCCTTAAAAGTCACGTCTCAGTTTCGGGCTTTGGCGCGTTTTGCACTGAGCATATCTCTCTCTCTCTCTCTCTCTCTCTCTCTCTCTCTCTCTCTCTCTCACTCACTCACTCACGCGGGCATGCACTGTGGTCTCATGTGGAAACGCTGATTTATTATTTTTTTTGTGTGTTTTTCTTGCTCCCGAATACAAATAATTTTTCAAGTATTTGTTCGAATCAAGTATTCGTAAAAACACGCTATTCGTGCCTTTCCGAATACCGTATTCGGGTTCGGCTCCACCCTTAATATATATATATATATATATATATATATATATATATATATATATATATATATATATATATATATATATATATATATATACGAACAAGTATTTATAATTGAAATTGGATCCAATCAAGGAGTTGACCATGTAATTGAATCAATAGATATAATTTAACAACTTGACGCAATTGAATGGTTAGATGTAATTGAATAACTAGACAAGGATACAGTTATTTACTAAATTGAATAAACATAAAATTGAACGATACAACAATTGAATGCATAGACTTTATTGAAGTACAGATTGAAATAGTCGCAGTCATGTAGTTGCATACGTAATTGAATGAATAGATATAATTAAGCAACTAGATGTATTTGAATTGTTACATTATTGAATTATTAGATGATGATAGTTATTTACAAAATTGAGCAAACAGATATAATTTAACGATAGAATATAATTGAATAATTCAACTTTACTGAACAGTTCTATATAGTGGAAATTGTACAAGCAATTGACCACATAATTGAATAAATAGATATAGTTTTATAACTAGACGTAGTTTGAATGGT